ATTTTGATTTTCAGCCTCATGAAATTCTCCTTGAAAATAAATAAACTTTAAACTTTAAATAAATCTTTTTGGACCTTATATTGAGAATTCCAGTATAAAGCTGCAAAATGCAACTTCAACACTTAGATTCAGCTCTTATGTGTTTATTTTGTCATGGAATAATGAGTGAACAGGCCTCACCTGTCCACGAAAATCTTTGTCAGTTAACTGTCCAATAACTTCCGAGCCTCTGAAAATGGGTGGGGCTGTATACAAACCTCTTTAATTTCCAACACTTAATAAATACTTGTTTTAAACCCCTTAAATTAAAGCTGAAAGTCTGAACTTCAGTCACATCTTGTTTGTTTCACTTTAAATACTTTGCAGTTGTCTACAGAGTCAAAATACTTGATACTTGATTAATTTTTTTTTTTAACCCAGCTGGACGACGGAGCATTGAAACACCTTCAGAAACACTGCCCAGAACTCACCACCATAAATATGCAGTCTTGCACAGTAAGACAAACATTTGGTTGTTGGAAGCGGAGCGATAGCAACTGATAATAATGCATGACTAAGGCTCTGCATGCCTTTTGCGTTTTTGTAATCAGTTTTTTGTTTTTTTGTTTTTTTTAAAACGTCTGTTGCCTCCAGCAAGTAACGGATGAAGGTTTGGTCAGTCTGGGCCGAGGATGCCACAAGCTGCAGAACCTCTGTGTTTCTGGCTGCAGTAACATCACTGATGCCTCTCTCACTGCACTGGGTCTCAACTGCCCCCGACTTAAGTAAGAAGCTCACACACCCGTCTCACAACATTTCTCATACATCCAAGAAATATGACTGCTGTTGCTTCCAAAAATAGTGTACAATCATATCTATTTGAGGCTCTCAACTAAATTCAGCTATTAAAAAAACAAATCATGCAAAAATATTAGACGTTTTGTGCACAAGAAGTCTTATATTTTGCACCTGTTGACCAACCCAGTATTCCTTCCTCACACTAGCTGTTTAAAAAAACTCTTCCCAAACTTTGTGTCTGTCTGTCTAAGGATCCTTGAAGCTGCACGATGCTCCCATTTTACGGACGCTGGGTTTACTGTCCTGGCCAGAGTAAGTGTTTTGTTTATGTTTTCTTATCTCCTTTAGTTATGCCAGCCGTGTTCTGAGTTCAGTTAAAAACTTCTCTCACAAAACCTTTTGTTTGTCTTCACAGAACTGTCATGAGCTTGAAAAAATGGACTTAGAAGAATGTATTTTGGTAAGAACATTTTAGTTCCCTCATCTACTCCCAAGATCATACTTCATCATACATGATTTTTGTCAAATGACGTTTGGCAAAAAGTAGAAGTTGTGACATAGAAGACGTGACAGAGTTCTGGGACTGAGAACGAGATATGATCATGATATCACATGTTTGCTAATGCTTGAACTGATCCTCTCAGCTGTCCCCAGACATGTGAGAACAGTACATTAATCAAGCTTGGCCTGTCCTCAGGTGACAGATAACACCCTGGTTCAGCTGTCAATCCACTGCCCTCGGCTTCAAGCACTGGTAAGCAAACAATGTCTGATACTGTATCAGCTTTTTTCCCAGCCCGTCTTCGTTGCTGTGTGTGGTTTAATCTTTCTATTTGCGCATCTTTAACCCAATTTCCTGCACCTTGGGCAGTCCCTGTCACATTGCGAGCTTATCACAGACGATGGCATCAGAGCCCTGAGCAGCAGTACCTGCGGCCAAGAGCGCCTCACCGTGGTAGAGCTGGACAACTGCCCCCTCATAACTGACGTGACCCTCGAGCACCTGAAGACCTGCCACCGTCTGGAGCGCATCGAGCTCTACGATTGTCAGCAAGTCACTCGGGCGGGCATCAAACGCATCAGGGTCAGTGGGCATGAAGGGAAAATACATGCTGCTTTTCAGCTCTTGTTGGGGATTGGAGCGGAGCTTTAAAAGAATCGCTCGACATTTTGAAAAATGTGCTTGTTAGCATTCTCGCTGAGAGTTAGATGAAAAAATCAATACTACTCTCACTCATGATGTACACAAGCGGGCTGCATTTCTAAAAATATTTTACAGAAGGCAGTCCTGAGCATGTGCTTTTTCCTTGTCTTTTTGTTTTGTTTTGGGATTTTTTTTTTGTTTTATTCGGGAGGGGTTTGTACATTTTTGGTCTTTTGTATTAACACATCTCTCCCGCATACAGGCCCACCTTCCAGAGATCAAAGTCCATGCCTACTTTGCCCCCGTGACACCCCCTCCCTCTGTACATGGAGGTGGCCAGCGTCTGTGCCGCTGCTGCATCATCCTCTGACAGTGGAGGGCCAGGGGGGGCCACCTCTGTCTACAGGTCCTGCTGCTATGAGAAGGGGGCTGATGTCGGGTGGGGGGTGTGGGGTGGGGGAACTGGGGTAGGCATAGGGGAGAGAGGGGGCTGGACCCACTCACTGCTCCTGATCACTGATCAAAACACTGACTGATTGCCGCTGATCCCTGATCAGTTGAACCCGCCCCTTCTCTCTCCTCTTGCTCACCGATCAGCAGTGCAGCAGCCATCCGTGTGACGGTGTGGCAGGGTGGAGGAAAGAACACGGATGGACGGAGTTTTTCTCTTTTTCTCTCTCTGTCTCGTGCTCTTTCTCATCGTGAAGACCAGAACAGGTTCTCCATTCCACTCTGCTCTCCCTCACATCTCTGACTCCCCACCTGCGGGGGTAAAGGACTGCATCTGGACAGCTGCAGGTGGGGTGGGAGGGTGAAACGGTGAAACTACAGTGCTTCATGTTCAAACTTAAAAAAAAAAAAAAGAAAGATATTTTCATGTTGGACACTCTCTGTGGAGAGGTATCATCTCAGCTGATCACATGACACCTCTACACGACCATCCTGTGATTCATTCTGCTTCGACCAATAGACGCACAGCACGGAGGAAGTGGAGCGCTGCACTGTGGGTAAAAGCCACAGATTCTTCTGGATATGAACAGTGAAGCTCTGGCACAGCTGGCTCAGTTTTGCAGTGCTGGAGAAAAAAAAAAACAAAAAAACAAAACAGGAAGTACAAAGTGGAACATGTGACATATTTGTGCATCTGGGAAACCTATGTTGACATTTTAATTCTGTTTGTACAGAGAATGTTTTGCAATGGAGAGGGGGAAAAAAGATTTATGGCAACTCACTCAAAAATTGGGGAAAGCCAATATTTTTTTTTGTTTGGTTTCTTTTTCAGTGCTTATTGTAATTGTCCATGCCTGTCTATTCAGAGAGGAGGATACGCTTGTGTTTCTTTTTGAGATGTAAAAGGAAAAACTGTTGCTGTGTTACAAAAAAAGGACCTATGATTCAGACCCTTGGTGTCTAAAAGCATTATATTGACACTGTATGCTGCTGGGATGAGTGGCCTCTCCCGTGAACTGCGCGGATACGTTAGCTCGCAGGCCCTTATCCAATCCTCCTGTCAGTAGCCCTTGTGGTCTAGCTTCTACTCTACTACTTAAGCATTTGTTTACAACCTCAATTAGGTTAGCGGCCACAGACTAACTTGTTTACATGAGTAGGTTTCCAGTCCCACTGTTATTCAGACAGCTACTAAACTGATTCTGAATAGGTTAGTAACACTGATACAACTGTTTTTAAACTGGACTGTGACACCCACTATTCAGATTTATGCTGTGTGTGTCTGGATCAGGGCTGACGCTGGTGCAACTTTGCTTCAAAAGCAAAAAGGAAATTTGTTTAGAGATAAGTATGAGACTGTGAACAAAGGCACCTCAACTTTATTGACAATCACATGAATTTATGTACTTGGAGGTTCATTTAGTCTAGCTTTGTGTAAATGTTAATTTACAGATGATGTAGAAACATAAATGAATTGGCTGTCATCAAGACTTAAAGAATCATGCGAGTAGTAATTTGCAATTAGTTTGTTATACAGGTCTGGTGGAACTTGCCAGTCAATGTATGTAATTGATCCCTGACAAATTCTGGTTCATCTAATCCTACAAAACATATGTGATGGGGTAATTTGAAAAGCAGAGATTGGAAATCCCGTCACACCCCAAAAACCAACAGCTAATTTTACTGTATACACGCACCTCTTTAGATCAACAGGATTTCAACATGATGTCTCGTCATGCCTGATTACACACGTACGGGGCATGAACACCATCATTTCACGCACTGAAAATGCAACAAAACAAAAGCAGCTTTTAATATCGTGTTAAACAAGAGACTGATAAGTATCGTGTAGTGCCAAGTGCTCAAAGACTGGGGAGACTGGCAGGACAATGGATAGGACTGAAACAAGAGAGACCAGATGGAAAGGTCAAGGAAGACTTGGATGGATTTGAGATACATAGCTGACTCGACTGGCTGTGATACTAATGCCCTGTTTGACAGCCGTTTTAACAGTTTTATGTTTAAGAAAAAGAAATAAATTAAAAAAATAAATAAATAAAGGTGACTAATAGTAACTGTGCTTTGTCTCTGCAGTGTGAGATTTTGTTTTTTTATCTGAAAGACCTACTTCCTAGTAAACTGCAGCGATTTGAATAGAGACTGTGCAGCCGTGACGCCGCTAGATGTCAGCAGAGGGCCGTGTAGACAGCGGACACGCCCACACGTAAACAGTAATTTTGTTTATCGTTTCTAGAACAGAGAATAGAAATTAACCAGCCACAATCAATAAAAAATATATCTTAAGTTAATAAGCGTATATATTTCCCTATTTTAGTACGGATGTGGTTCACAGTGCACTTGTTTATTTTACATTTTACATCAGGCATTATGCAGGCTGGCTGTGCAGTGCCCGAAGACCCATCGGCCTGATCGTTGATCGGTTGCGCCTCCTGGTGAACTGCAGTCCCCGGCAACGCGCAGCTTTCAGCGCCTAATAACAGCTTTAACGGCAGCAGCGATTATTCCTGGGTTAAAGAGAAATCAGAGACCCCCGGACTGGAGCTCAACTATTTTTGTGGAAGTTTGGTGCAACTTTGCCCCGGACGGAGCTGACCGTTGAACGCCTTTAAAGCCTGCGGTCATGGAATAGAGCAGCGGACTTAGGCCTGCGGATAACTGACGGTAGCTAGCTAAGCTAGCTTTTGTGAAGCTGTCCATATTTGTTTGGGTGGCCGTGCTAGCTTTCTATGTGCTATTTTTGTTAGCATAACAGCCAAGCATATTTGCTATTTTTTTCTGATGAGGTTATAGTAAAGGAACCGGCTGAGGGCCACTGCGGTTATTCGTTTCCCGAAGTTTGGCCAAGTTTAAGTTCCCTCTGAGTTAACGGTATCTAATAAGGAAACCAGCCAGCTTCGTCTTTGTCGTAACGTATAAAGTGGAGGGATGATTTCTATGCTACATTGATCTATACACACATATATATATATATTGCAAGGGATTGTACGTTGATGACTAAACATCAGTTAGAGGCAGTCCAGACTGCACGGTGTCTCTGTCCCTTGAAGGGTTTACACTTCGCAGCTCGAGTTCTTTGCACCCCGTCCCACCGACCACTGTCTCCTGTCTCCGGCCGGCTTCAGCGGCTGGCCGCACGGCACTGAGTGCCCAATGGAGGAACATGACAACATGGAGTATTTTTACCAGCAGGTACAGCAGAAAGATGTTACCCGCAGGTTGCAGGTCGGACAGGACCTTATTGACTATCTGAACGATCCGCATCGCTCCCCGGACGTAGAGCAGGACAAACCCCGGCTGGACAAGACTATAGACGAGTTAACGGGATGGGTGAACTCCAGCAATTTCAAGGTGAGAGAGCTTGAGCTGTCATCGTATGAGCCATTCCTTCGGCCTGTTCGTGAATTGTTTTCCACTGGTTTGCCTGGTACCTGGGAAGAGACAGCACTGACATTTACTGAGATATTTTTCAAAAGATGATGTAAAACATTTTAAAGACCTGTTAACGATATGAAGAAGACCCAAGTCTAATGTTTTGAGATTAATGTGTGCACTGGAAAATTCCAACAAAAGCGCTGGCAAGAAGCAGAAGGCTCTGTGATTCTTTATGACATCCTAATCCTGGAGCACAAGAGGCAGACATCTTTAAATGCAACCCAAGCATTGAGGAGTGCTTTTGAGGGGCATTCCTGTGGTTTGTTGGGTTTGTGCTGCTGTTTTGGTTGTGTGCGTGTCTGTGTTAAGGAGACCCATTGTTAGAACTGTAGACTGCTGGAGCATTGGATGGGATGGGGGAGGGGTTGGGAGATTCATTGTTATGATCCATGTTTTATTTTCTCTCTCTCTCCTTTGATCTCCTCTCTCTTCAAGATTTTCTCAGTATTCTCCTTATTTAAGTCCTGGATTTTGTGTGTAATGTGCTGGTTTGCAGACAGAGTTAGGAATGTGCCATTTCTGCCAGCACATCACACCAGTCCAGACAGCAAGTCATAACAGCTGGAAATCCCTTTTAAAGCCATGCTGCAGTATTACTCTCGAGTCGCTTTTTGGACTGATTAGTTTCATCTGCACTGATATGCAGGACTCAGAAAGTCTGTATGAGTGTGGAAATTGTGTGCTCAGCGTAAGGAAGCATCTGAGCCTCTGGAAGAGATTTTTAATTTGACGACACCCAGCTAGAGAAAGAAAGTGTTCTGGACTTTATTGTCATTTTGGTCTTGTGATCTTTTAAATAAAACTTTTAATATTCATTTCCATTTAGTACCATGGAAACTTTAGGAATAGTGAAATCGGTATTGTGAGAAGCACTGTACAAAAACAGCTGTGGAGTCTTCACCAATTGTCCGCTTAGTATCCCTGTTAGATGTTCAAGAAGAAAGCTTTTTATAAGCTGAATTTTTTGCTATTGTTAAAAATAGTGAAGAGAAATGCTCAGTGAATGGTTTTGTATGGTGCTATAGCCTTTTTTTTTATCTCCTGTGGCTGTGATAAGCTAACATCTTTCTTTGTTTAGGTTTGTTCTTTTATGTAGATGACACAGCCAGTAACTCGAGCTCAGATCAGTCACTTTGCACTGATGTGCAAGTGAGTTGGGAGCCCCAGAGGCCTTCATATAGCAGGCTTTTAGCAATGCTCATGATCTCTGTTGGGTAGAAGGCCTTAAGCTGTAAGCAACATGCTGAGTCAGCAGTTGCGGGTGGGGGGAGGGGGGGGTGATAAAGAGTTGAAGAGAGGAGATGAATACAGGAGGCATTTAAGGAAACAAGAACTAGAGTCAGACACAGGCTAAGCGTGAGTGGAAAACACAACTCAAGACCTACAAATACATTTCAGAGATCTTTCAGGCACAAAGAGTGTCACAATCAAGTGTAGGGCTGAACGATTATGGAAAATAATCTAATTGCGATTTTTTGCCCCA